CATATAGGGGGCTTGGGGGGGGGGGGGGGGGGGGGGGAATAATAAAAGAATAAAAACAGAAACAATGGACATCGATCCATGATGATGTTGGGTATTGACCAAGGTTGATTTTTCCAATTGCCAAATCAACAGAATAAAGTACAAAAGGCTCCAGACATGTGTTTGCGCAACTACACATGACACTGACTAGCTCTGAATAAGAGGTGAGCTCTAACAAAACGTCGTACACCATCCACCGTCTACCCCCAAAGGGTAGTGGCTAGAATTAGGTCGTAAACTCCATATAACACGTCAAAAAGAAATAGAGCTTGCATTAATATTACCCAGCTGGCCTCTATCAAGAGGGATGATGTTGAACGCCGATGCTATGCAGAAGATTATGAGTAGAGGCACGCAAAGCGATCTTCGTCTCTTTCTCAAGAATTGGGGTATAGAATAATCGTTATCTATGCAGTGGGTAGTTTGCCATGACCACAGCAGTGGCTCGGCAATTGCAAGTTTGAGTCCATTCACGAGGAGCGAGGCCAAATCGTCGCGACCATACTTGTCGTAGGACATGAAACCGCATTAAAACGTATGGAATTCCAAGGTTCGCCATGTTAAATACTGTTCAAGAGTTCAAGGCGACACCAACCTCGAAAAGGAGTTGCACAAACTTGCCATGCAGCTCAATGAAGAAATCAGGCTGTCCAACAAGCTCCGCGAGCCCGCGGGCCTTTAGTGATGAAGCACCCGGTCCACCGCCCATACGCCTTGTGAAGGCACTCCCGCCAGTCAGGAAGCTGCTGCCAGACCGGTCAACTGCGGCAGGAGGGTCAAAGACAGAAGGTTGGGGCTGTGGTTGTGCTCCGCCACCGTACATGACACTGCCAATGGGGGATGAGTTGGCTGTCGTGCGTTCCGCTTCCGCTTCAGCGAGCTGCTGAATCCAGGTGGCCAAATCCCTGAAGGCGGCTGAAATCATAGCAAACGTCTTCATCGCTAATCTCTCTTTGTGTGTACTAAGGGCCAAAAACGCGTATACTCGCTTGTGCCCTCGAGCATGTACATCTGGAATGCGGAAGATGTATGCTGTGGTATAACCTGCTAGAGCATCGCCAAAAAAAATTGGTCCGCCTGTTGCTGCGGAGCCTGGACTCTGCGTCGTGACAAAGGACGGGGATGTATTAAGCTGTGGCGAGGAAGTTGGGGTAGATGTGGACGGAGGTCGAGGGAGGGTCTCGAAGGATAGGGCACGTAGACATGACGCACGAATCAACGAGAAGGAATCAGCCAGGATGGGTTCGTGGGTAGAGGTGTAGCTGACGTAGTGGAAGTGATATGGAGTTCGCTCTGACGAGGTCGATGTGCTGGAACATGACGTATTTCTGGAGCTACTCGCTGTTGGGGCTGTTCTCCGTGATCGCACACGTCGCGTGCTCGTTTCGCGATCACCATCCGTGTCACTCGAAGTCTGCGAGTTAGGTGGGGAGGTCTGTCCAGCAGCCCCAAACACCCTCTCGACAGGAGCCTTGGTGCGTAGAGTCGGCCCATGTGCCCCGGTTGCATAGTCTTCTGTGGCTGCGCCAGATGTTTGTCGCCTTGGTAGCGTCATGGCACAATTATCACAAGGGCCTTGTTTCTTGGTGACAGTGTCATCATAGGTCCGCCGGAAGCTTGAATCCCGGCGAGGTTGCTGGAAAACTGGCCGTGGGCTTTCTGGCGGCGTCTCGAGAGCTGAACAGTTGACTGTGTAGTTTGTATTACCAAACGCTGTTGTGGAGCGGCGCAAAGCAGCATGTTGCGCGTGGGCATCATACTCCGAGGTAAGTGCGAAGCCGCTGCGCCCGATGCTTAGATCCCTAAACGTATCATTAAGGGCAAAAGAAGACTGAGATTGCGGCGCAGATGTCGGACCACCTGATCGTGTTCGAACATTGCATTTCGTTTTGCCGGTTGCTGCACTAGTGGGACCAACTTCCTCGAAACACACAGAACACGGACTTCTCAGTCCCTCGGTGACCATCAACGGGGTTGGCCCATGGATGTCACAGTAGTGAGCAAGGCACAACTTTAAACCAGTAGTTAGCTTAGTGCCGATGGCCATGGTGAGCTGTGATGTGTCCACGAAATGCATCACTTGAGCTGCTATTATGAACAGGGCTTGGAAGAGGCTTGTTGAGTAATAGAACAGGTTCAAGACATGCCCAAGAGGTAACGAGGTGCGATGCAGATATGTATCCTGGGTCTCGAATCCGTGGCAAATCATAAGTCAAACTGCAGCGCAGCTGACTCGATATGCAACAGGGCTGATGGAGATTATCTCGTCCGGCCAAGTTCGCAGAAGAAACATACAAAAAGAGCCTCCATGTAGAACAACTGGACAACAGAGGCGGTGAGTCAAGAGGGTGTGCAAGCGACATATTGGTGTCAGCGCGGGAGAAGGTCAACAAGTACAGCCTGCGCAAACGCCGGCCGAGACCAATTGCCAAGGACAGCTAAAGCGAGCGCACTTGTTGCGACAGAGGGAACAAAGGGAGGGGAGATGTGAAAAAAAGACTAGGACGCTAGCAAGATTTGGGGGAGGATGCAGGCTTCCTGCAGGCTTCCTGCAGGCATTGTGTGTGTGGCGCCTTGCAGCGGCACAACCATGCGCTGGCCGACATTTTGTCGACTGTATGTGGGTGGGAGACTTACAATGTAGGTCATGACGCATCCAGAGATCGAGGGGTATATCTTATCGTGAGGAGGAGCAAGGTGGGATTTCGGTCTAGTAACACGCCGCGAGCTGGAGAGGGAGAGGGGCGAGTCAACGCCAACGTTGAGATGACTGCAGAATGATGCGGGAGGATGCCGAGATGATGCAAGGACTGGCGAGGCAGCGAAGTGACCACTGGGTGGGTGGGTGTGATGTTATTGACAAATACAATGCTGGCGCACGGCTCCGAGATCGCGGAGTGGCAGTAGTAGTAGACGAGCGACAAGCTCAAGCTTGGACTGGTGATTAATTGTAAGATGGTCGTTGCAGTGTGGTACGACTCGTCGCGGACTGTTGCGGGAGCTCTGACCCGATGCGGGAGCCCGCGTGGTGGTTGTTGGGCGGACGTCTTTTTTGCAGGACGCGGCCCGAATACCTCAAGTCGCCTCGAGTCTTGCGCTCTGCAGTCGGTGGCGTTAATGCTGCTTGGTGCTGCTTGTGCGAGTGCCTTGTCCAGAGGCGTCAGCCCGGGGCCAGTCGTGTCTCCTCGTCGGCCGCTGAGTCTGCCTGCGGATTGAGGTGACGGCAGCCCGCAAGCGAGACGAGGATGAGGATGCAAAGACCCAAGGAGGAGGAGGTTGATGCGAGAAAATGGGCAACAAAGCCCAAGACTAAGCAAGAGCGGATGTCACGGAAAATAAAGTTTCGGCGTGAGGGCGAGGGCAGCAGACTCCAGGAAGGCGTGAAGTGAAGGCGGCGGGTCGTGGCTTCCCAGTCTAAGGAGTTCTGAACTCTTGTCGGGGCAATACGAGCGTGGCTTCGCGACTCCCTCAGTCGGTCAACACAATGGATTGTTGCGCAATCTGCTGCGCGAGTAGTCGAACCGACTCGATCGAGTGATAGAAAAGAAGAAACAGCAGTTGTATGCCTGCGAGCAAACGAATGTGAGCAGCCCGCTGATGGCTACGGACCACTGATGTGGGCTCATCGGTTCCTGATATATTCCCACAAATCATGGATCCGTCGTTACGGTTCCGTGACAAAGCCAAGCGCTCCGACAGGTCTTCTAGAACGAAACGAGCAGCCAGTGACAAAGTTGTCCTGGCGCGAAACAAGTGGACTGGGAGGTACTTTGCAGTAGGCGTTTGGCCTGGGCCAGGGATGAGTCGTGAACCCCCCAGTTGGTCTGGTAGGATGGAACTACGGAGCTCATCATCCACTTAGCCACTCAAGCAGGTCAAATTTCGACTTTTCCTGGACCTGGACCAGTTGCTAACTATTGTGTTAAGTACCTCAATGAAGCCTGGCATGTGGCTGAATTTGGAGCCCTGGACAAGGAACCGCTATTCGTGCTACTATTGCATTGACGGCTATAGCTTGGGACCACTGTTTTGGCGGACAGCTTGTCCTTTGACGTACGGAGTACATACCAACAGTATTCCGGATTGAGAAAGCTGCGGAGGTACTCCGTAGAGACAGCCACAGTCTACGGAGTAAGCTACATGTGTCTGTCCTATTGTGGGACATCGGACACCACAGACAGCGCTTGGTCTCTTCCCTCGTCGCGGAATCTTTGCCGGAAGCTTCAGAATTAAAGAATCCTCGGCATCAATGTTTATTGTGGGTACGTGTTGCGACGCCGCCTAACACAGAGCTCTGATTCAAATGCTGACAACAGACAGTCAGTGATCGTCGAAGCCGATAGCCCGAGGCCGCTAGTATTCTGCATCTTTGCTGTGACGAAGAAGGGGTCTGATCCGTAATAGTCAGTACTCCGTCCACGCTTCGGGGCAATACACTCCACCACATGTGGCTTCACAGTTCCCACATCCGGGAACTGCCGAATTGGAAATGTAAAATTACAACCATTCGTCTAAAGTCATCAAGGATCCTTTGTCCAGACCTGGGCTAGGAGAGGGCGGACGAAAAAAAAAAAGGTCAACTTGGCCATGATGGCGCGGCACCGATTTACACGACTAAGCACGAATACTATGTATTGTTTGTCGATGAAGCGGCGAAGTACCTCTGCCTCGTTTCGGAAATGTTGCCGGCCATCGAAACCTGGGCCAAAATACAGTTGATGGGTGTGCTGGCATAGCAAAAGACAATGAAGCGTCGGCAGCACGCGTGTATATCGTGGTCGCTAGAGTTCTGTACAAATACCCAGTGTCCTTACCGCCTATTATATTCTTCGAGAGCTCAACATGTAAGTCGGTCAGTGCTTGGTCGGCGGCATCTTGGTGGAGAGTACGGAGGCGAAATTGAAAGGCGCATGACAGGCCAACATGTCATGCTTGACTTCTTAAAGAACATCAGGCCACCCTTGCTAGAGCTAATGGTTCCGAGTTCTCAATATTGTCCCTGGTCCGGTCGAAGATGTGCTCACATGGCAACTTTACTTTCCTGGGCTGGCCCTGCAAGCCTGATCACGGACTATGCTTATAACAGCAATTGACCCTATCGAGCCCAACCCACACAACAAGCCAATACTCCATTGTGCAAGGGCAGGGATGGTCGCATGGAACACGGGTCATGGTTGTACTGCTGGTATATGCACCAGAACCTGAGTAGAAGCCAGTCAGAACCGTGCTAGCCACGTGGATGACTGTGACACTCGAGCGCTCCCCATACGGAGTAACATATGTGTGACGGTTATCCTCCACGGGGAAGATGTGAGCATTGTCTCCTGGCTCTCTGGTAAGGACTACTTGTTGGCGACGAAACTTGGCTCGCTACATGACCTTTCCACTGTCACAAGAGGGATTTGGAAGCGACAGTGGATGCAATTCGCCTGACCTGAGTTGGGTAGCCTTGGGGATCAGTTTTTGGACCCCACGACCACTGCAAATATGACCGGTGAGAGGCATGCCTGTTGGATGGTACCCCTTGTGTGAGACCCGGAGCATCCCGTTTGATTGAGCCAACAGCCACCCGCCCATGGCGAACCCAGGCTGATGTCACTCTCACAATATCATGGATGGAAGGATGCGAGAGAGAGCCCAAGCAGCGTGGTCGTCTCAGCCATCTCAGAGACCGGGGTCAAGTAAGGGAGTAGGCGGCAGCCCTTCAATAACAAAAAATCGATGATCCAAGGACGACAATGCCCAGCTGCCTGCCTCGCTGGCAATACTAGTATTACTAGCATTACTGGTGCAACTCGGTTGTCAAGGCGGCCTGAAATCTGCATCACCAGAAATCCGAGACATGACGCCCCGTCACATTATTTGAGACACGCAATCGCACGACTTTTCACGAGCCTGGGCTTGCTATCGCAAAGCTTGATCCCGACCAACGAGGGACGGATGATGGTCTCTTCTCTCTTTGTGTCCTTTTTTTTTTTTTCCCCGGTTCTTCCTCGTGCAACAGCGTTTTCGATCATGTCGCCCAGCGTCTCGGGTAAACTTATGTACAGCCTCGCAGGAGCAGGGGGCCAAAGTCTAACATTACAGATACTACTCTAGGTACGGAGTACGTAATTCAGCATGGGACGAGAACGCACAAACCCGTTTCTCCGAGACATTTATTAATAAACCTGTAACTGCTACCCGTGCAAGTGCAGTCTGCATTGACATATGGGATATTAACCGAAACGACATGGCAACTCATCCACCAGCGTTCAAAAATTCGGCCCTCGACGGTTGACGCCTAGAAGCCCAATCAACATGGAAAGTAGCAAGACGGCTCTCTTTCTTCATCACCCCCCGTCCACTCTAACCGCCTGTGATATAAACGGAGTATACCCCGTTTCGATGATGCAGCGCCCGTACAGACACGCAACGCAAACCGACAGAATGGTAGCGCGCCTCGTCTCCCCATTGCCGCATGCAGGGTTAGAAAAGAGACAATATATAAGACATGATCCATGTTGTTATTGCCCGTTAGGTTGGCATAACGGGCCCATTCATGCCGGCCTACCGGCGAAACGGCTCAATCCTACTTGTTGTTAGCCCTCAGAGCAACGCCAGTAATGTGGCACGAATGCCTGGTATCTAGAATTGTCCGACAGTTGATTTGACAGCTGAAAGGATTTGTGATGGCTTGGCAGGTAACATGGCCCGATGTCGGGTGATATCTTGGCTTGAAAACAAAAATTGTTGCGTTGTTTTTTGGTATCCCTGCAATTGGGCAAATTAGTACAGTCGACGGTACCGAATACATGCAGGCACTCAGTTACTCCGGTATGTACTCCGTACTTGCGCACTTTATCACCGCCCTCTTTGTCGCCGCGCAAGGACCATCATGCACCATGCATAACGTGCACGATGGAATCGTGATACTAACCCTTTCTTTGTCTTGCTAGAAGGCCCTTGCACTTTGCACAACGTATCCGGCAGGCAACGGCTAAAAAGACGGTGAGTTGTACCGTACTCTGTGTATTGTAGGATGTATTGATCTAATCATACAATTTCCCAGCCCAAGGTCCCATGCCAAGCCATCTTGTCCTGGCTGCATTCGCATCTGAATACCGACAATAGAAATCGGGGGGGGAGGGGAATGTTATATTTTGCCAATTATGCTGATTTCCGTCCCGTCATCTTGCATCTATGCACTCGGGTGGGCACCTTTTCTTTGCACGCCCTATTACAACCGACATTCTCGAAGTCGCGAGTCCTGTTCGCTTCTGCGGAATCACGCGAGTCCGAATTGATGCCTCCACCACCGAGGTATGACGAGGACCATGATCTGCATGCCGTCCAAGGGAGCTGGACAGATGCCTGGCCGCCTCCGTATCCTGAATATCGGCACTAGACTCTGCCCATGCTTCGCGAATCGACAACCCTAGAGCCAGGGCCACCTCTCGCGCAACGCTGTTGCCCACAATCTTGTATTGTTCTGCAGGGGTGCCCAGAATGACTTCATCATCCGGGAAGCCCTGGGCACGACGGGCCTCCATGACGGAGAGGCCTCGATTCTCGTCCCAGTGCAACTGGCGACCGTGCTTGCGGTCGCCAGGGGTCTGCTTTGTTATAATGGCCCCCATAAGTTGGTTAGGGTATAGCCGTCCATATGCGGAAGAGCTCCGGTCTAGTTTGTTAGGCTCTGATATCTTCCTCTTTGTTAAAAACACCCCTTTCTCCGCTGGCGTGAGGATTTCGCGGGATGCGCTGCGCAAATCCATTCCCCACGGCCGGGTCGGGATCAGCGATATTCGTGCCTTCAAGTCCTTGGTGAGCCCAGAAGCCAGACGGTGGTCAGGGAAGGTGATACAAGTATGTGTCTGGCCACTGTATATCTTGGGAAGGCCAGAAGTCACCTGCCTAGCTGTAGAATACGAGAATGGAGTTGCTCGTAGAAAGTCACGCTCTGCCAACGCATCGCCAGTGGGAAGTTTGACAAAGCTTGTATACCTGGTTGCCGGAGGGTGCGAGTGAGTTTGCTGAGGCTTACCAGGCAGCTTATAGTTTGGTGCCGCGAAGCTTATGAAGACGCGTGAACGTCTTTGCGCCGATCCATATGATGAGGCGTCGAGACAAAACACCTGGGCTTGGTATCCTATACCAACAATTGCGCATATAAACTGGCTCAAGACATCCTGGTCTCTGTTTGCTTTACTTTGAACAATGCCGGGAACGTTTTCCAGAAGTCCGTACATGGGCCGGTAGAGGTCGACGCATGAGGCGAAGGCTGCCACGAGAGACTGGTTTTTGCGCTGTTCGTCTGTCGTCTTGTCGTTTGTGAGAAGAGAGAAGCCGGGACATGGACTGCCTCCGGAGATGAAGTCGACGCTACCTATGGTAGGCACCGACTTGGAGAAATTACCGCTGAATGCCTCCTTTTGGAAGTCATCTATGGACCCGAGATACGGGCTCAAGAGGTTGGGATGGCTGCAATTGGCCATGTAGGTGTGAATTGCTCGGGCATTACAGTCGTTGGCCCAGCTCATGCGAACGGCACCCCCTTCTTCGAGGCCCCTGCCAAAGTTTCCGCCGCCACAGAAGAGGTCCAATCCTCGAAGCTCGGAGATGACAACAGCGGGATCAAATCCCTGGCGTAGTGACGAGGGGAAGCTGCGTAATGGAACGCACAACCCAGCGGGTGATACTCGATGCGTGATGTAAAAGTAACCGCCGACTCCAGCTCGATTATACGGCGCTGGGATATTTTCACTATGGGGAAAGAACCGAACGTGGCATTTTCCGACGATACGACTCGGGTCGCATTCGATCGACTCGTTGCTATACACTAATTCATTACGGGCAGAAGTGACAGCCGTGCCGTCCATATCACTTCGCCGAAGCAGTTTTCGGAAGCAGAGACGAGTTCTCGCGTGCCGTGTGTTTACACTGATAAGTTCACATGCTTCTGAAGTCGAGCTGGCCACATTTACATGGACAAGAAACGTGTTTCCTGGCCGGTATTTGCCAGAGGTAGAATCCTGAAGCCGAGGTTTCAAGTGTGAGCATATTAGATCTGAGTCATTCAGAGCTATCCATTTATTCTCTTTGCTGAGATATCTCTGTCGACAAAAGAATTCCGATGTTGTTGTCGAGTCTCCTCTAAACTGAACACTATGGACACGCAGGACCTCACACTCTTGGATCTTGTTTTCCTCAGAACACGAACAGTGATCAGAAAGGAACAGCTCATTTCCCCAGGGATATTTCATTAGGCCACAGAGAGTATCAGGAGGGCGGCAGTACCACAGCACTTCAAAGCATCTGCCACCGTCGTTGCCTTCACAAACCTTCTGGACTAGGGCAAACCGCCGGTCGACGTCCGCGAAGCCATCGGAGAGTTCACGTTTCCGCAGGGACCACGATATCTCATTGTTTATTTTCGTGGATATTGTGTCGCCGGGTTTGATGGCACGGGTGATATCTCCCCGTGTCTTGTCAAAAAACGACCCGGTAGCTTGGCCGTGTGGTGCGCCGCACCACACGGCCAGCTCGCGCCCCTG